GTGCCCAGCCAATGTCTTACGCCCCCCGGCATCAAACTGCCTTGTCACCCACCCCATCTTTTTATGGAATAGCTTTCATTTTTATTTTCCTTAGTTTATTTTGTTTTTATCATTTTGAATCTCAGTAATAAATTGCCTTGTTGGATTAGCAAGTTGGCGATTTAGGAAAAATATCTATGTAATTATTTTGTTTATTTTATTTACCTTAGACTTTTAGGTTTATTTTATTTAGCAAAATATCTAGGCATTTGGCCTTAGGCATCTCCTCCTGTAATGAAAGTGAAGTTTTGTTGAACAAATGTTGAGTTGAGAGATTTTTCCCAAAGCCTTGCATTTGTGCAAACCCCCTCATCTCAAATATTGTTATCCTTTGTGTGGTTGAAATTACAGTACATACAATTTGATTCAAGTTGCTAGAGGTTCGAGAAGTTTATACTCTTGGGTTGTCGGGTATCAAGATTCCTTAACCTTTATTAACACGTGGAGATCCTCCATGGATGGAGTTGTGGTGAATGTTTGAAACGAGGTGTGAGATGCATTATAGTCGGGATGGAGCCTGTTGAGAGTGTAGGTCATTATGTCTTCATCTTTGATGTGAAACAGAGACAACACTAAGCTTGTCTGGAATCACAATGATCCGCTGAATTCGTCAATGGATTCAACACTCTTCTTAGATAGACTTTGAATCAATAATACAAGTTCAAGTAGAAGAAGCATATCGTTTTTCAAGCAACTTCCAGACTTCGACGAGCAGGAGGGACAAGGTTGTCTGAGACCGCGTGGCATTAATAAGGATGGTCAGAGTTTGGTCCTAAGTGTACCACAAAGTGAATTGCGAGTTAAGAAACTTAATACCACTGAATTGTTTTGGGTAGGGAAGACTTTCATCAGTGAACCAAAATAGAAAATGAGTCTTGAGGATCAAATTGATCTAAGAATGCCAAGGACAACATCAAGTCGAACCGAGACTAGAGTGCATATATGTGATAGGAGGGAGATCGGAACACCATTGGTTGGAGATGAGGAGGCCGTAGGTAAATTTGAAGAAGAGGTTACAGACGAGTTCATGTCCATGGTGAATTGGTAATTGAAGTAGGTGAGCAGGAGAACTTGATCGGTAGAAGGTTGAGATGAGTTTAGGTGGCTAGACTAATTTGGAGTGGTGATCGAACTGATTTGGGCTCATTTTTGGGTGAAGAGAGAAAAAAGAAGGAAAAAACAACGAGAAAAGGGTCGTAAGGACATGAGTTAGACCTGCTCTCATACCACGTGGAAAGAATGGAAATCCTGTGTTGCATTTTATAGGTCATGTGTGAAATTGTATAAAATTACAATAGTGCTTGCTGGCCTTTAATAGAAAGATAACAAATATAATAAGTGGTAATAGTATATGTCGTTAAATATTGTTAACTTATCTTGAATATCTCTAATGTCTTTGACTTCCTCTAAATCTCTTTAGCATATGGTATTCAAGGTGTCACGGCTGATCGTTTCTCAGGATAGGATAGATTAGTAACATTTGAATGCGGTACTTCTAACTACGATATTCAACAAACACTAATGTCTGAGCAAGAAGATATTTTTTATATACAAAATTGAAAAAAGAATCGTGCCTTTTTATAGACTATTTGTGACCATCTAAATGGTCATATCTTTTCACATCGTTTTGTGTCTTCATCAGAAGAACATATCTTTTGTATATGGTTGCGTCCATGCTATTAAATATCCATCGACATGTCGACATTTTCATGTACTCATGAGTTTGACATTTACAAGGAGGGATAAATTGATATTTCCACAATATTACAAAAATCAATGAAATATGAAAAATATCGACAAAAACTCACTAATATATACATAATATTAATATTAAATATTTTTAACTTATTTAAAAGTGATGAAATGTTTATTTATTAATTAAAAGATATTTCCAATTTTTGGGATATTTTTATCAACATCCACCTCTAAAACCTTGGTTGTGTACTTAATAAAGACACATTCATTCAAAAAAGCTATGGTCGTGGTGGTTTATTTTTTATTAAAAAAATTTATTCACAGCTTTGTGAGACAAGAAGCTGTGAGTACAGAAACGCCAGCTTAATCTAGAAGCTTCCTCAGCAGACTCAACAACGAAAAAGATCTCATCAAGGGAGAGAAAAATTTTCACTCTCAAAAATAAAAAACAAAAAAATCCGACAGCGACAGCGAGCACCTAGAACGACGTCGTTCAATGAGACACAACTGAGGGGCAGTTTCGTCAACTCACTTTAAGCCACCGCAAAACCCTTGTTCCCGTTCTCTCTCCCATGTTCTCCTCAACCTCATTCCTCTTCGTTTCCTTCCTCTGTACTTCGCCGGAAAAAGTTTTGATTCCGATCTCATTCTTCAGTTTCGATCAATTTCTTCGTCAACCATGTTCGTCACGAAGATTTTCTCACGCGCCTCCCGGAACATTTGCCGGAGCTCGCTGCTCTCCTCGGCCTCGCAATCCGACAAAACGACGCACTTGCCAATCCTCGCCAATCACTTACACTATCGTGTTAACCAATCTATCGACAAAGTACGGTTTAAATGCCTGCCAATTACTCGGTTGAGTTTTCTGCTATTGGGGTTTAGCTAGGGTTTTGGTTTTCCCGCAACGGAAGAGCGACATTTGAATTCGAATTTCTTCTCTTTTCGATGAGGTTTTGATTGTATTTGTTTTTTTGTATTCTGTGGTTATGTGCGTTGGGGCCTCCCGTGAATCTTGGTACTGTTGCTGGGTGTCTTGGATTTGTTATTATTTATGAACTTTGGTGTAGTTTTATTATATTTTTCTATAATTGGAGAGCGTTTAATTTTCGTGCAGCTTATGTTTTTTCCTCTTATTATTCTTAGGAGCTCACTGGGATTTATTGGTTTTTTATTGTTTAACGGAATGGGTAACTGGTGCTTCATTTTTTGGTAACGCGTCTGGTCTTCTTATCTATTCAGAATGAGGGAATGTAAAATTGAAAAATTTTATTCGTTGGTCTAACATGCCTAGTTCTATTCTTTTTTCTGCTCAGGAATCTGCGTTGCATCATTCATCTTTCCTTCAAAAGTTCAGATTATCAACATCTGCATCCCCTGAGACTTCTGATAAGGAAAATAGTAATACTGTACCAAGTAATGGCGGCTCTACACCTGCTTCTGAGCCTACGGCTGAAACTACTGGTCAACCCAAAGAATCAGGTTTAATATCCGGATTTTGATTTTTAATGCCTGTCTTAAGGAGAAGTTGTAATGAATTCTAATTTATGATTCAGATTCTGAGAGTGATGACAATCTTTCCATGGATGATCTGGTGAAACTTGTGACTGAGAAGGAAGAACTTTTGAAGTTAAAGCACAAAGAGATTGAACAAATGCAAGATAAAGTTGTTCGCACGTATGCAGAGATGGAAAATGTGATGGTCAGGACAAGGCGTGAAGCTGAGAATTCAAAGAAATTTGCCATACAGGTTTTATTATTTTTATTTGGCTTATTTCTCGTCCTTGATATTTTTTTTTCATGTTGCAATGACATGGGCAATTCATTAATGCTCGCTTGCAAACTTTTATCCAGACATCTATTATTTATATGTATTTTAGAATTTTGCAAAGAGTTTACTGGACGTTGCAGACAATCTAGGACGAGCTTCATCTGTTGTCGAGGAAAGTTTTTCAAAGATTGATTCAACTAATGACTCTAACGGGGCTGTGCCGCTATTGAAGACCCTTCTTGAAGGTGTTGAAATGACTGAGAAACAGCTGTCTGAGGTAAAATGTCTTGTACAAAATGTTCTTGAGGTTTACAATTAGTTTGAATTTATTTTCTTATCAAAATAATTGGTTGGTTTTAGTGGTTAACGAAGAACTTATGTGACTATGTCACTTATTTAGTATGTTGGTATGTCATGTATTTTCTGATTTGACTTCTAAATTGTCGGTTCTGGTGTTAGAATATGAGGATTCCAATTATTTGTAAAACTAATATGCCAGATGAATTAGCCAATTGAAGTTATCTGCTGTGTTACTTGTATCTAATTTTGGTTGTTGATATTCATGTGCAAATTATGTTAAACTAAACTGTGTTGCAGGTGTTAAAGAAGTTTGGAGTGGAAAAATTTGATCCTACA